ATTCGCATGTGAGGTCGGGGTGGCCTTGTTCGTGCTGCGCTGCTTGGCGAGTCTGGCGAGAACGGCCACCACGGACGCCGCCCCACGCTGGTCTGCCAAGGCGTAACTTCATCGTTGGTTGGTGGGGCTCGAGGAGGGAGGAGCACCAAGTCGTACTCATGCCCTAGAGACATGAACTCTAGGCTCCCGAACCAAACCACGGTGCCGAGACGCAATGGTCGTACGTGGTCCGCCATCCCGAACTCTTTGGGATGATTTAAACCGACACGCAGCCGCCCCTACCGGCGCACTGGCTGTGGTGTTTGGGACCGGGGGTCCTCAACCAACTAGTGAATTTATTCTGCGTGCTCCCGATCCGGATGGTGATGCAAAGAGACACAAGGTTTATCTTGGTTCGAACAATCGAGGCCCTACTTCCAGTCCGAGAGATCAATCTTGTATTCCTTGCACCGAGGTGCTCGTAGTAGGGGTTACCAGCTAAAGGAGAGAAGGAGCTGGTCCTAGGTCTCGGCAGGTGCTGTGTCGGGGGCCGCTTGAGACGTTGCTCTCCCATGGCGGGGGAGTGTGCGTGTGTGTTACAAGGTGTTCCCTCTCCCCTTAAAACAACCCAGTCCTCTCCTTTTATAGCATGAAGGAGGACTAGGGCGGTACATGAGCTGATTATACTGGCGTCGTGTGAACAGAGGCGGCGTGTCCGGCCCCGTAGCTTGTTCTTCTGTGGCGGTGTGGCCGTCGGAGTGGTCCATCCTTGGAGTACTGGGGCGGCATGGTCATCCCATCAGATCCTGTGCGTCGTGGGAGCCCCGGGAATGCCTCGGAGTGGACGCGGCGGCGACCGTGCCAGCCACTGTGGACGGACTGTGCGCGAGGCCGAGGCTTGGTCGATGCCGAGGCTGGCACTGCGGTGGGGGGTCTCGGCGAGCACGAACCCCAAGATCGCCGAGGCCCAGTGTGCTGATCGAGGCCTTAAGCGGGCGGCCGATCATGGGTACATCGTTTGGACACAGTGGTCTGTAATCCCCGTCGTACCCTGTCCCAGCCGGTATGGTGCTGATCGTGGACACAGTGGTAGGACACAGTGACCGGTAATCCCCGTCGTACCCTGTCCCGGCCGGTATGGCGCTGATGCGACCTCGGGTCGCGTCGGCCATCCTGTGGCGTTGAGCCACCGTCCGGCTGAGATTGCGGGAGTGGTTGAAGCATTAATGAGACATGACGAGTTGTTGGGAGGGTCGGCCGAGGTGGGGGGCGATGGACCGTGGACGAGCCGGCCTCGAGCGACACGGAGAATGAGGCCTCGCGTGATATGGAGAATGAGGCCTCGCACGATACGGAGAATGTGCCCCTGCCAAGGCCTTCCCTGGATAGCCTCGGGCGAGACGGAGACGGCGTCCCCTACCGAGGCCCGGCGCCCCCTGCCGAGGCCTACCCTTGGGAGCCTCGCACGAGGCGGAGTTTGTTCCGAGACCTCCTGCTCGAGGCTCGAGGCGAGGTGGAGGAGGGCTCGGTCGTGGCAGGTGAGGGGCCCACGGCTTACCTTCTAGCTTTGTTTTGATGTTTGCTTAGGGTACCCCGTTCTAAGGTACCCGACAACACGTACGTAAACTTTACTCCTATGAGCACAACACGCACGCACGCTCACCCCTATGAGCACACGTACGCAAACACTACCTCTATGAGCACCTCCGAAGGACTGAACCGGCATATCTCGAGATTCACGAAGTCACCACAGATGCCTCGCTGGCGACGGGGACGTCAACCTACCACTGAATGCATAGCGCCGTTAAATCCTGGAATAAATCCAGAAAAATACGAGCACCCATGCCAAGTCGAGGACTTGAACCATCTGGATGGACAAGTTGTACCACAAAAAACCCAACCAACTAATCTATGATCAGTTCACAATCTACGGAATACATGACGAAGCAACCAAATGATCTATGATTAGTTCGCAATCTACGGAATATATGACGAAGCTTTTGGGGTGGAGCTGAGCTGGGTGTGCGACGAATCAAGCAGTCAGCACCAGAAGGTAATGTGTCCAGTCCACCGTCCACGTCAGAGAGAAAAGAGCCCACCACCGTTGATGTTCGTCCTGTTCGTTTGGGCTTATTTGACTTATAAGTTATGGCTTAAAGTACATGCTGATAATTCATAATCATATACGAGCAAGCGAACATGCCGTTGGTGTTGGCTGATGAACACGGGCTGCCTACGTGCTGTTTAACGCGCCCTGAATCCGGAATGCCTGGTGTCTGAAACCGTGACAATGACAGTGGGAACGTATTAGGTCAGCCAACAGTATTTTCAACTATGGATTTTTAGAGTCTAATTGTTGTTTAATCTTCAGTCAAGTGTTTTCGCTCTGCCTCCACGCGCAGCTACTAACAAATCGATATAAGCATTAGGATAAGCTAAGATCTTATTTAGTTCTTTCCTTAAAATTTACTTTCTATTCCATTAAATATTTAGACACATGTATGGAATATTAAATATAGACTAAAAAATAACTAATTACATATTTTGCGACTAATTTATGAGATGAATCTTTTAAACCTAATTAGTCCATGATTTGACAACGTATTGCTACAGTAACACATGTGCTAATGATGGATTAATTAGTTTTAATAAATTCGTCTCGCGGATTACTGACGGATTCTGTAATTTATTTTTTTATCAGTATTCGAACACCTAATGCGACATCACATGTGACACCCGACGTGACATCCAAAACTTTACGCCATAAATTTAAACAAGACCTAAATTTCAGAAGTACTTTTCAGTAAACGAACAATATTTTTTCTCTCACAGTAAATCAACATAAACATTACTATAAGCTAAATTTCAGCCAAACGAGCGTGGCCTGGCTTGTTTTGTCAGCCCGATACGCGAGCAAAGCATGGTGGGATGGTCGGTGAGGCTTAAAAAAAGCTTTATACATCATCCGAGCAACCTCAATAATAGGATTAACTTGCTAACTTATATAAATTTTTAATACTAAAAACAATATATTAGCATAGAAAAACTTATAAGTATAGACACATTAATTATAAGACAGTGTACGAGTTTAGCTCTTCACGAGGAGCTATCTTATCATTTTCTCTCTTTATTTAATAAAATCTAAGCTAACTCTTTTAGGCCCCATTTGATAGGGCTTTTCCACCAGCTTCAGAAGCCGTTTGGAGCTGTTTTCTGCCAAACGGGGTAAAGTGAAATAGCTTCACTGGTGAAGCCCATAAAAATATGCTCTCACAATGATTTAGGGTGGGATGGAGCAAAAAAAAAGTGGCTTCTCTTGGCTCCTCCTCTAGGTCCCTAAAAACATGCTCTCACACGAAAGCCATTTTGCCAAACGGTTTACCAAAACCGTTTCAGCTCCACCGGTGGAACTATTCGGGGAGGTGAAGCAAAAAAAAAAAATAGCTTCACTAGTGAAGTGAAGCCCTGCCAAATGGGGCCTTAATATTGTTGGAGCTGCCCTCAGTGACCCTATTTGAACGCTGTTGGTGTCTAGACAACGTAGATAGGAAGGGGAGAAAGAGAAGCGTCGAAGGAGCGAAACAAGACGACAGTAGGATTAGACAAGGTATTTTTTTTATCTCATGGAACACTTTTATTGACTAGGCCCTCTGTCTATAAAAGAATTTAATTATAGGATATGTGTGGATCAAACTAGCTCAAGTTTGATCGGATTTATAAAAAAATAATATTAACATTTATGTCTCTAAGGAAACTTATTATAAAAATATATTCTATAATAAACCTTATGGTATTTATTTTATATTATGAATGTTAGTAAATTTTTTATATAATTTTAGTCAAAGTTTAAACTGATTGATTTCTAAAAAAGCGATAATTGCGTTTTTTTATAGACGGAGGGAGTACTTGTTAGTTAAACTTTATGAAAAAAAATAATAGTTATAGATTAATCAGGTGGGAAAATATCGTGGTGGGCTTAACAAAATACCGCTTTTTTACGGTCGGACCGGGCATAGTCGTATTTTTCAGGTCTAGTATAAAAGAGAGGCTTTTCCCTGTGTGCCATTATAAAAGATCGTAATCTCTTCTGTGCCTCTGGAAAAATTCAGCGGTCTTCAGCGTCACTACTCCAACTTTTTCGGGTCCTCCATGCCACTTCCGTCAGTTCAGGCTCTAATGCCGTCAAACAGCAGGTGTGAAAAGACGAAAATGCCCTTAAGTTCAAATATGTTATTAAATTTTTTGAGTATCTTAACGACTTCAAATGAAAAAACTCAAAACTAGAAAGTTGTAGATCTCATCGAGATCTATAATTTTCATATAAAAATTATTTTTATTTAATTCCGCAAAAAAAATATGATTTGATATGATTAATATATCTTAGAAAAATCATCATATTTTTTTTGCGAAATTAAATGAAAATAAATTTTATATGAAAATTATAGATCTCGACGAGATCTACAACTTTCTAGTTTTGAGTTTTTTCATTTGAAGTCGTAAGATGCTCAAAAAAAATTAATAACATATTTGAACTTAAAGGTATTTTCGCCTTTTCACACTCATTGCCGCTTGACTTAAGCTAGAGCCTAAACTGACGGAAGTGGCATGAAGGACCCGAAAAGTTAAAGAGCTGACGCAAAGACCGCTGAATTTTTCTAAAAACATATAAAAATTACGATCTTTTATAATCTTGTATGCATAAAAAATCTCTATAAAAGTAGCAGTGGCCCCGGACCGGAACCTTGACCGCGGCCATCTTTTGTTCTCCACAGACCACAATCTCCGACCCAGTGCTCCCCAGCTCTGTGGTGGCGACGACTGGGCGGCCGCCGCCGCCGCCGCCCTGCGTGCTCAGGTCTCCATCTTCGTGACCTTCGCCGGCGACGAGCACCCACTACCAGGTACGCGCACCCCTTCTCTTCCGTTACTGCTGTGCGAAACCGAGCACTCAAACCCTAGCTATTTCTATTCGGATCGGATCTGATCCTGTTACAAGCGTATGCACGAAAACATTGAAGATCATGGCGCCGTTGGCCTTCTCATTGATGCCAAAGATGTCGAGGCCGCGGTACTGCAGTGCCAGAAGGACACTGATCTGGAAGGCGGTGAGGTCACGCCACATGGCGTTATTGATGAGCAGCACCGTGCGGCCGATGGACGGGCGGCGCATGAGCGCCTTGGTGGGCGTGTCCGTTGCCGGCGCCAGCCAGCTTGCCCATGGTGCAGCCAGTGATGTTGATGGGTTCAATGGTTTTCTGGACGGGTTAATCCATCCCATTTGAAACCTGTATTGCGGTTTGGTCCAAGTTGGCTTGGTGGGTTGAATGGTTTGGAACCAAACCATGAACAGGCCTACCAGTGGGAGACCACAGTCCATAACCACATTGAATTCACTAATGGTTCTATAATCGGAACTCTGCTCCCACTTGTTGGTTTGGTTGGCGTGGATGGTAGGATTCAAAGGCCACAAGGGCATGAGGTTTGCTTGTACGTGTCTGGTTTTGTCATGGTTGTGGGTTATGTGTTCATAATGGCTAATAATTTTGTGTTACATTACATAGAGTTTGTGATAATCAATCACAGTATAATGACTTATGATAGAAAATAACTATTGTAGTAAGGAGCTCTAAAAAATCCAACAATTGTATTGGAATTTTCAAGTTCTTTAATTTGGCAAATATTTGGTTTAAAAAAGTACTTTGCCAACACATCATGCACTGAGAAACTATGCAAAGTAGTAGGTTGACAAAGTATACCGGACTGTAGTAAAATAGTGCTTGAAGCTCATGTGCTGATTACAGTAGCACACATTTTTTTCCCTGGGATTCAGCTCAAGGATTAATTTTGTTTATGCCAACACTCTTGAGGATTTACTCAAGTTCGAGTCTTTGCTTACTCCACTAAGGATTTTCATTGTCTTATGTTCACTAAGATTTTGCTTTCTTTGGCAGGAATTTTCTATACATTTAAGATGTATAGGGCCTCGAATTTCATACCTGATCCTAATCAGGTGCTCCTGGATGCCAAGCCATTAAGGTCTTTAGCTCCAATGTTCCCTGCCCCCATGGGAGTCAATGTTAATCAATCAAGTACACCACCATTGGTCTGTGTCACTCCGGTTGGTCAATTTCCAGCAGGGTTTGGTGCAGGGAACCTTCCTGCCTTTGGATCGTTCACTACTTTCAGTGCCACTGCAAATGGTGCCATTGATGCCACCCCTATCTCTGCATACAAGACAAGGTCAAGCATATCACTTGATGGTGATGATGACCCTTACTCAGGTAACCAAGCTTTGGCATCTGAACGGAAGGCTAGGAGAGGCCGTCCTCCTGGTTCTGGTCGTGATGGCTCAAATGGTAAGGTAAAGCGCCCTAAGCCCACATACAAGAATTTTGTTGCTGGCAAAGAGCTTGCCTTTCTGTCATCTTCATCCAATCCCAGGGAGATTGTGGAAGCAGTTCACATGGTCTTTGAGGCACTCCGGCGAAGACATCTGCAGATGGATGAAACACAGGACGCTAGCAGACGTGCAGACCTGAAGGCTGGTGCCATCATGATGGCCAGTAACATCAGGGCGAATACGGGCAAGCGGGTAGGAACTGCACCTGGAGTTGAAATAGGGGATATTTTCTATTTCAGGATGGAGCTGTGTATCATTGGATTGCATGCACCTAGTATGGGAGGCATTGATTACATGACTACTAAATTTGGAAATGATGAGGATTCTGTAGCCATATGTATCGTCTCTGCAGGAGGTTATGAGAATGAGGATGATGACACAGATGTGCTGGTGTACAGTGGTTCAGGGGGAAATAGTAGGAATACTGAAGAGAGGCATGACCAGAAGCTTGAGAGGGGTAACCTAGCTCTTGAGAGGAGTTTGCATAGGAAGAATGTGATAAGGGTTGTACGTGGCTTCAAGGATCCATTTTGCCTAACTGGGAAAATTTACATATATGATGGCCTCTACAAGATTCATGAGTCCTGGAAGGAGAAAACAAGGTCTGGTATCCATTGCTTCAAGTACAAGCTGCTACGTGAACCTGGACAGCGTGATGGAGCTGCATTATGGAAGATGACTCAGAGATGGATAGATAATCCTGCTACCAGAGGCAGTGTTCTACTAGCTGATCTGTCATCTAAGGCTGAAACTGTGCCAGTTTGTCTTGTCAATGAGGTAGACCATGAGAAAGGACCTGGACATTTCACCTATACTAATCAGGTCAAATACTTGAGGCCTCTCAGTTCTATGAAAAAGTTGCAGGGCTGTGGATGCCAGAGTGTTTGCCTGCCTGGTGATGCCAGTTGTGCTTGTGGACAACATAATGGAGGTGATTTACCCTACAGTTCATTAGGATTGTTGTCATGCCGCAAACCGATGATCTATGAATGTGGTGAATCTTGCAACTGTTCTACAAATTGCCGGAACAGAGTGACCCAAAAAGGGGCCAGGCTACATTTTGAGGTCTTCAGGACCACCAATCGAGGCTGGGGTCTTCGCTGCTGGGAACCTGTTCGTGCTGGTTCATTTATATGTGAGTATGCCGGCGAGGTCATTGATGAGCACAAAGTTAATTTGAATGATAGTGAAGATGATTACATTTTTCAAACTGTATGCCCTGGTGAGAAGACTTTAAAATGGAATTGTGGACCTGAACTGATAGGTGAAGATAGCACGTATGTATCGGCTGATGAATTTGAGCCACTGCCTATCAAGATAAGTGCAAAAAACATGGGAAATGTCTCCCGTTTCATGAACCACAGTTGCTCACCCAATGTCTTCTGGCAACCAGTTCAATATGATCATGGAGATGATGGACACCCACATATAATGTTCTTTGCACTGAAGCATATTCCACCCATGACAGAACTGACTTATGACTATGGTGTTGCCGGAGCTGAATCTAGTGGTTCAGGTTCTCGTAGAACAAAGAACTGCATGTGTGGATCACAAAACTGCCGGGGATTATTTTGATGGGTTGAGAGACTTGCTGTTTGTGGTTAATCATGCAAACCACTTTCTGCTTGGTAGGTTCTTTTCCAGATTGGTTTATTTTTTTCATCACATGTGTTTCTTCCTTTTTATGAACTAAATGAGCAAGATATAAAGTGGAATCTGTCATTATACTGTATAATCATGCAATCTGGCTTCAGTCTGGGCACCAACTAGACATAGAAATGTTTAGAAATAAATATATGATTTTGTAGTTTATGGAGTGTTGTAGGCTTGTTCTTTTCTTTATTAAAAAAATCAGCATGAAAATCAAAGCATGTTAAAAGAAACAAAAACATGAGTTTTTTTTAATATAAATATTTGCTAGTATCTTAGCCCTTTTGATTTATCATACTCTGTGCTGAAAAGAGTGCAACTTTACATTTGGTTGAAGTCAAACTATTTTAAGTTTAACTAAATATATAGACAGTAGTATCGGCAATTATGATTTCAAATAGGTACGTATATAGTAGTATCAAAAATCATGATTTCAAATGGGTACACTATGAAAATGTATTCGATGATGAATCTAATGATACTTATTTGATACATATCATAAATATTAGTAATTTTTGGAAAAAAAAAACTTAAAATGGATCGACTAAGCACTTTAGCTTGAAGCGCACTCATTTTGGAATGGAGTGTTGGTCCCTCGCTGCCCTGCACAGGTAAGCAGTAAGTTTACCAGCACACTCACTCACTATGGCTAGAGGTAGAAGAAGAGATTGAGCTCAAGAACACACACAAACACACAATGCAGAAGCTCCAGTGACGGCCAAGGCTCTGCCTTCTGCTTGTAACAACCGAATCGCCTTTTGCATTGCCTTAGTGTAATATATATACAACTCATGTACCAAATATATAAGGTACAAATGAGTCACAACTACTCCTAGTACTAGCAGTACAATGTTTAGATCAGCCCACTACCAAGGCATGGCTGATGTACTAGCTATCAACTATTGTACTAGAGGTGGCCTATTGCCATCTTTACATAAAGAATGAGGCTCGGACAAATGAAATGACTAGCATGATCTCCTAATCTGCAGCAAAGAGAGATTTGGGGAGCAGCAGATTATGTCTTACAATTCTTCCCCAAATCGTGCTGCTAACCCGATACCTTGACCTTATCCATGCCAATCATTTTCCTCAGCTCCATGAACCGTAGGCGCCTGAGTGACTTGGTGAGAATGTCAGCGAGCTGTCTGCCGGTCTTGGCAAACTCGATGACGATCTGCCCTCCATCGGTGCAATTCCGGAGGAAGTGGAACTTGATGTCGATGTGCTTGCTCCGGTCGTGGATGACAGGGTTCTTGGCGAGGGCAATGGTGGGCTGATTGTCCACCATCAGAGCTGGTGGGTGAGCTTCCTCGCCGGTCAGCTCGCCCAGCAGCCAGCGCAGCCAGACAGCCTGGCACGCCGCCGTGGCCGCTGCGACATACTTCGCTTCACATGTCGATAGCGCCACGATCTTTTGCTTCAGCGACTGCCAAGCAATGGGGCCTGCTCCAAGGAAGACGAGCACACCAGAGGTGCTCCGTCGACCATCAATGTCGCCCGCCATGTCTGCATCGCTGAAAAGAGTGAGCTCCGGCTCACCTTCCTCGGTCTTTGGGGGTGCCCCGCTGAAGACCATGAGCCTCAGCCCACCTTTGCCGCCGTGCTTGGGGAAGATGATCGCTTGATCAAGCGACCCCTTGATGTAGCGCAGCAGCCTCTTCACTGTCGTCCAGTGGTCTTCACGCGGGTCCTCCATGAAACGGCTGACGTACCCAACTGCGAACGCAATGTCCGGCCGGGTATGAGTGAGGTAGCGCAGCCCGCCGATGATGCTCCGGTAGCATGTAGCGTCCACCTTCGCAGCAGTGCTGTGCTTGCTCAGCTTCAGCCGCTCCTCCATCGGAGTCTCCCACGGCTTGCACTCCGCCATGCCGCCGCGCTCCAGCAACTTCTCTGCATAGGCGCGCTGACCCAGGGAGATGTGCTCCTTCCCTTGCCTCACCTCAATGCCGAGGTAGTAGGAGAGCTCGCCGAGTTCACTCATTTTGAAACGAGCAGCCATCTTGCACTTGAAGTGATCGATGTCCTCCGCACGCGCACCGGTGACAATCAAGTCATCCACGTACATGCCGACGACGAGCTCCTCCTTCCCCCGTCGCCGCGTGTAGAGCGCGTGCTCTGTGGCGCAGCGGGTGAACCCAAGCTCGCCCAAAGTGGCGTTGAGCTTGGCGTTCCACGCCATAGGGGCCTGCTGCAGCCCGTAGAGCGCCTTGCGTAGCTTGAGCACCTTGTGCTCAGCGCCCTTGACGGCGAAGCCCGGAGCTTGCTTGATGAAGACTATCTCCGCGAGCTTGCCGTTGAGGAACGCAGACTTGACGTCGAGGTGGTGGACGTGCCAATCCTTGCTGCTGCCATGGCCAACAGCAAGCGAACGGACTCCATTCGCGTCACCGGAGCAAAGACTTCCTTGAAGTCGATGCCCTCACGCTGCACGAAGCTGCGGGCAACAAGCCAAGCCTTGTACTTGACAATGGCGCGGTGCTCGTCCCACTTCACCTTGTAGACCCATTTCAGCCCAATTGGTCTGCAGCCCGTCGGCGGCTCAACCAACTCCCAGGTGTGGTTGTTCTCGATGGCCTTCATCTCTTCCAACATCGCCCGGCGCCAATTGGTGTCGCGTTCAGCCACTACGAACGTCGGTGGCTACTCTGCACTAACAAGGAGCAGCTTTGGGTCGTCGAGAAACTGACTGGCCAACCCAGGAGCTCCCCCTTCGACGACGATGTTGTCCACCCGCCTGAACCAGACCTTCACCGTGCCGGTCACGTTGCCGTCGAGCTCAGAGAAGGCTGCCATGGAGCCCGTCATGTGGCTGCTGGCGCCGGAGTCCAGGTACCACCGCTGCTCCTGCTCGCTACCCACACGTCCGAGGTGGACTTGGGCGCGCGGTTCGTCGAGGTTGACAGCCTTCAGAGCCTTGGCCTTCTTCTCCTGCTTGCGGTTTGGGCACTTCTTTGCCCAATGGCCGCGTTGGGGTCGACCTTCTTCTTCTTCTTGTACGAAGAAGCCTTGCCACGACGCTTGCCGTCGCCACCGCGGTTGGAGGAGGATTCCCCGGACTTCTTCTCCTTCATCCGGGCAGTCCACTCCTCTGTCGACAACAATTGCATGTGTCGTCGTCGTTCTTGTGGCCTGCTCCATGTGCTCATCCACCGCCTCATGACGGCGGGTCACATCCTCAATAGTGAGGGTGGGCCAGGTCCAAAGATCGTCTCTATGGAGAGAGCGGTGCGATGTACTTCACCCGTACGGAGTGGAGGTACTTGGAGACCGTCTCTTCTTTGTCGATGGTGACGTCGTGGCTCCCCAACTTGCTGATGAGAGACAGCAGGCGGAGGGAGAAGTCCTCCATCGACTCACCATCCTTGAACTTGAGGTTGGCGTACTCGCCTTCCTTGGTGGGCCGTCGCCTTTTTTTTGCATGATCGCAGCGACGCCAAGCGCATCGCTGCAATGGCCTCCCACACCTCCTTAGCAGTCTTCTTCGCCCCCAACGGCTCCCTGTACTCCGCTGGCACAGTAGCGAGGATAGCCTCCAACGCTGACACGTCGTCTTCTTCGTTGTCGGTGCCCTTGTGAATGGCGTTCCAGAGCCGTCGGGCTCTGAGCTTGACCTTCATGGTCACCGCCCACTCGCTATAGTTGGTGTGAGTCAGCGTCGGCCAACTGCCAACTGGTGCCACCCCCCACTTTTACTGCGCATACGATGACCTCCTGTGGTGGTGGGCAGCCCCAAAGAGCGCGCCATTTCTTTGTCGCCCGTGTCCGAGCCATCACCCGCCATCACTGGCGGTTAGTCCGGCGACGCTGTACGGCTCCGATACCACTTGTTGGTCTCTCACTGCCCTGCACATGTAAGTAGTAAGCTTACCAGCATACTCACTCACTATGGCTAGAAGTAGAAGAAGAGATTGAGCTCAATAACACACACAAACACACAATGCAGAAGCTCCAGCGCTGGCCAAGGCTCTGCCTCTGGTTGTGGCAACTGAACTGCCCTTTCAGAAAAATGCTGCACATGTTGCCTGTTCTTTGCCCAGCATTACGCTACTATGTTTAAGTTTTAACTCGTATAACTTGTTGGTGGGTGAAATCTGTCTGACATCTTACTCCGTGGTGTATTATTATTTCTTTTACAGATCCTTTCTACGGAAGCAAATTTAGTCTCCAGATGATATGACATTATGCCAATTGCCATGTGTACTGTGAAGACAGTAAGCTGTTGTCGAACTGTAGAACTTCTGTCGCTCTGCACTGCATGGTGGTCGTTTTCCCACCATTTGCTCGGATGTTTATGGGGGCGTGGATTGATGTATTGCTTGTGCTAATCTTGTCCACCAATTGCACCGGTATTTGTAGACTTGTTATCAGCCCTGTTTGCGCTGGACACCTGGTTGTTAGCTGTGACTCCTTGGGTCTGGTCATGTAAATTATCCTGGTTTAGGACCATGTTGCTATCGACTCGAATTTTTCGCTTCCCTTGCCTTTTTCATGTGGTGCATTGCGGCCTATGTCCAGAAATGTTCAGGTGTATGCTGAGTGCCCAGGTAGGGACCAAAGGATGCAGTTGATGCAATTTGGAACCAGGTTTCCTTGTGGGCGCCAGCGAATGGAATCTGGTGCGAGAGGTGCAGCTGGTGACCTCGTGGGAGCAGACAGCTTCTGCCTTCTGATGCTTCTCCGGTTTGGCTGTGAGTCTGTGACCCAGTAACGCCGCGGCTTCTCTTGTGACGGTCAAGCGGTCGCTCGTGTAGATTTGCGCTCCGAGCTGAAAGCGATATCCGAATGTACGAGGGGGAAATCCGCATCTCCGGGCTACGGCCTACGGCAGCGTTGTCGTCGGCGTCGACGCAGCCGGGCACGCGCGTCACTCTCACTGTCTCACATCACCTGGAGATCTGGCATGCATGATCATCATGGATTGGTTGCCGACGATTGTGCATCGTCCCCAGCCAGCCACGAGAAGCATTCTGGCAGGAACTGCCATCCAACGTGGCTGGTACACCATAACTGCGAGATCCGCAGTCCCCGTGCGTACACGAGTCCGGCCCCGGCCCCGGCCCCGGACCCGCGTGGCCTGGGCCTGGACAGCTCGTCCGCGGCCCGCCCTCTGCGCCCCTAGCGCCGTCCCGTCCCGTCCCCCGCGTCCGCGTCGCGTTGCGTCGCCGAGACAAATTCTCAAACCGGCCGGCAAACCTACGTCCCACGCATCGGCATCGCATTTACGTCCTCCAACCGCTCGCTTGCGCCCACCGCAACGCGCCGTGACGCCACCGCTTTTCCGACTGCTGGTTCCGCTTTCTGAGTAGGCCCTGGGGCGAGCCTCGGTCTCGACGGACGCAGCCGTCACCGGCCATGGGCGCTGCCGCCGCCGCCGCCGCCGCCTGTTCTCTTCCCCTCGGCCACACGTCATCATCCGCTGCGGCTGTAGGGCCGCGATGAGTCCGGCGGTTCGGGTGGGGAACCCGCGCGGGCCCGGTCCGGGCGCCGCGGTGGTGGCGGAGGAGGAGGAGGAGGCGGCGGCGGTCGCGTGGCGGGAGCTGCGCGGCAAGGCCGCGGAGTTCGCGGCCGCGGCCGAGGAACGGGTGACCCTGGCCCGCCGCATCGAGGCCGCGCTCCAGGTGCGTCCGTGCCACTCCCGCAAATGGCTTGAGCCAATCGCCCCCTTCTGCCATGACGTGGTTTGATTTATTATTATTTTTTTGTTCATGTGGTTTGGTGCTCGGGCAGGTAAGGAGGGAGGCACTGCGACAGGCGGAGGAACTGGACGAGCTGAGGCGGCGGGTGGACCTCCAGCAAGCGCGTCTGGAGGCGGGCGTCGTCGGCCGGAGGCGGGCGCTCGAGGGCGTGGAGCGGGGGAAGGAGCGGCTGCAGGAGCAGATCGAGCGGGTGCTGCCGCTGTCGAGGGCCCTCACCGCCGCGCACCATCGATTGCAGGTAATATAAGCAATCCGTCTGCGCGACGCGACATGCTGCGAGATTGAGTTGAGCCATTGTGGGTAGCTGCATTTTATAAATTAGGGCGTCTGCTGATTTCAGGAAGCCAAGGAGGCGTTGTCGGGAGACAAATTCAGACTTAAGGATCTGCACAGGCTGCTTAGGACGAGGCAGCAGTGCATGGTTAGCCAGGTTGCTGGTTTGTACCCTGTGAAAGTCTTCCATGATCTTCCAAGACATGTGGAAAACCCTTGTGCTGATACTAATGGTGAGAATCCATTACTCCCATGCCTCTCTTCAAGAACAATGTTTTATGGTATATGCATGATTTTAGTGCACATGCCCCTTCGAGAGAAAAAAACATCGTAGCCAAATAGTTTCATTGCCTTTTGACACATGATAAGCTGTATTACCGGCTTTACTCAACAGCCTCAATCTGTTATGATCGCTCTCTGCACCCCAAAGATTGGGATAACTGAAGGGTCACAGCTCCTGCTGGGCGGAGGAATTTTGTCTGATAAGTCCTATAGGAACTTTTTCCTATGTGTCCCTTTGGAACAAATGATTGGACATCCAAAAATCCTACAAAATACAAAATTCCTATGCAATGGCTCAGTCCATAGAAATTTTGGAGAAAATTAATGTGAGGTCCAACCTCTTGGAAACTCTCCCTCTCCTTAAATTCTCATGTTGTATCCAAATGTTTTGTTTGAATTTTTCTTGAATTATAAATTCATGTAGGAATCAGGATTGAAATTAGCAACCAATCTTATTTCCTGCGTTATGCATTCCAAAGAGCCCCTCATTCAAAATTCCATCTCAGTTCTTATACAATTTTGCTTGTGACATTCTTATCTAAGGATCTATGTTAAACATCTTCATGATGCATACTACAAGAGAAATTTAGAGTGAGGGTAATGATTCCTAAATCGCCTTTTCAAACCATTTTATGAGATGACAGAACAATTTCAGGGGAGCATGGAACACTTCCAGAGGAAAATGGAACGTTTTCAGGTGGAAACGGAACACATTTACCCACCATTCTCAAATCTCCACAAGCACATGTCTGGACATTTTTTGGCTGGGACATTATGAAGCATAAAATGAAGCAAAAAAGTTACAGGAACAAGGAGCTTCAGAGGTCCGCAGCTGTTCTGGGATATGCAACACATGTAAGTTTTTCCTACAAGGTATTTCTTCTGTGCAGTATAAACATCCCTACTTAAGGCCACCTTTGGAACACAGGAATTTCATAGGAATCATGTAGGAATTTCACAGGAATCAGTTCATTTTTACAGGAAAAACGCTGGAAACTGGACCCCCCCCCTGCAATCTAAAGGGAGCCTTAGTTGATCTTATTGTCATGCTCATGCTGAAGGGAGAAAATATAAGACAATAATTTGCACTGTCAAACCTTATATTGCTTTGGATGCAGAATATGCTATAAAATATAGTACTGATTGTAGAAAAGATCAAAGGGGCAGACCCAGTGCCGGAGGCTCCCACATGAGTGGGGTCTGGGGAAGGGAAAAACCGAGGCAAGCCTTCCCCCCGCAAAATCTGCGGAGAGGCTGCTTCGAACCCGCGACCTGGTGACTCAGTGAGACAGCTCTCACCACTGCACCAGGCCTGCCCTTCATTGTAGAAAAGATCAATTTAAGATAATTCAGTTTTCATATATTACTTTGCAATGTTACAACTTGAGTTTTGTGTCTAAAGTTTTGGGCTGTTGCAAATCACAGCATTAAGTATCCATAAAAGCATAAACAATGATAGGAGTACAATTGCTTCTGCCTATTTATGATACTTAATGCCATCACGAGGGTTAGAAACTCAGAATCACTACTTGCTTATTTATTTGTTTGTAGGCAGTCTTGCTCATAGCTTGCTATCTTGATGTTCCCCTCCGATATCCCTTGCGCTTTGGAGGATCCCGATCTTATGTGAGCGATCGCTTGCCTTCAGCTGATACAGCATCGGCTGCTTTAGCAAGTACCAGGAACATCGAATCAGAACGAACAGAGTACCCCCTTTTCCTGGAATGCCAAGAAGACGACTCCACTAGTGCCTCCTATGCCATTTATTTGTTGCACAAGGTGTGTATTCCCCAGTGAATCTTGTACCATACCTGCTATTTTTCCTGATACAATGCTGTTTGATCTAGTCTTGGATGTGCAAAATCTGAGACTGTTACTTTCATTTTTCACGTGGATGATTAGGATAAGGAGCAACTTGTGAACTATGTTGGAGCAGAGAGCTGTGGAAGGCACGTGTTTGGTAACCTGCGAGAACTTCTTAGGATCATACAGTCTGATGAGTTTGTGTACAGATGATGGATCCAGTCCATGTGGTTTTGGAGTGCTTATGGTGTAGAGGTGTTATACAGATGTAAGTAGGTGTTTTTCTTTTCTCTTCCTATTCTTTCGTGTGATTCTTGCCCTCTTTCGCTGCGCTAGGTTTTTTGTATGTGCAGGAAATAGGTAATTAGGGTTTTCTAGAGAAATGAAATGTACCCACACATATGGCTTCTTGCATCATCTAATTCAAGAAAGATGGTCCAATCTAAAGTCCTACGACCACTGGGTCTGTCTCCTTAACAAGCAAGTGACTGATATTTAGATTATCCAATAAGTCACATTTTTCAATAATTGGATTCAAATTCAACAACTCATATTCATTTTAGTTTGTGCTCTGTTGTGCTGTGAATTAATGCTCTGCTCTAGTGGCTGACAAGTTAGACGCTTTACCACGTTTTGTAACCCAGTTGATATCGGACCCTTTTGTAGGTTGTTCTGTTTTGGCCCGATTGCAGCCCCAATTGCCTATGGATCTGTTAACCACACTAGCTGTTGTTTTTTGAACTTTCTAAGATCTGGGCTGAGTTTTTGCTATGATCGGTAGCCATTGCTGCAGCCTTAGCTCTAGACTAGAAGTGCTGCCGAGCACTCCCTTTGTACATGAAATGTACAAGTATTTATAACTTGAGTTCACAAACTAGGAAAGAAAACTAAATTGACTCTGGATTGTAGCCATTATGTACTGTTTTTTACCACACGATATGGGCCAGCACGTGAAGTGAAAACAATGGAAAATAGACACAAGAAAAAACAAGAAAAAGAGGAAGGAATCTGGTGGGAGAAACAGGGAGCATGTATCAGGTAAAAAAATAGTCCATATTTTGACAATGGCGTAAATTCTCTAAAAACATAATGGATGCTTTATGAAACTTGGCAAACCAATAGAAGTGCTTTGGTAAAAGTTGAGTTTCTGCGTGAGTAAGTTAGAACTTACGAAAGTATGGCGCTAGAATTGCGTGGAATAGAATGTAGTTTACCACAACAAGTTTATGACGATTTATCAGATTATAATAGTACCCAGAAGAGTTAAAGATACCTGGATACAAAAGAAGAGAAACAGATACGTGGGTCCTGCACTCCTGCTTCCATCCATCCCCGATGTACTGATCCCCTTCTTCTATAAATAATTCCCCAAACCGGCCCGGTCAAAATCACAAGCTAGGTTGCTAGAGTCCCGCCCCATTCCAAAGCACTCCGCCATGACGAAACCCACCGCTGGCTTCCAGACGCCGCGCCCTTCCTCCCTTCGCTCCTCCTCCACCGCCGGCGCCCGCTCCTCCGCAGCGAAGCTCGCGGTCGCCAGCGCCGTCCCCCGGGACCTCGCCTCCAACACCAGGGTAATAACCCCAACGATCAATACGCACACCTCCTCCTCTCGCCTTCGCACCCGTGTCTCACTTACTAACTCGGCCTCGTCTTTTTCCTGTGCTGATCAGGTGGTCCGCAAGTGCCTGGACTACGATGGCGACTCCACCCTCCCTGCTTCCGCAGCCCCCACGCCGCCGCTGGATGACGTGCTGGAGAACGACCTCGCACATCTGCTGGACCTGCCAGACCCTGAAGTCTCCGGCGACTCCTCCTCCTCCTCCGTCATCTTCGCTGCTCCGGATGACGCGGTGATAGCTTCCGCCGACTCCTCTGTCACCGAGGTTGGGATATCGACTCGTTTCAATTCGAATTGCTTCCGAATGTTTCGTTAGTGCTGTATACGAATTTGGGGTGCGGGTTCTATTTAGGTTTCCGTTTGATCGGTGCTACTGCAATATCTGTGGTCCTTGTACCATTTGAATTTGAGTTCCAACATCTTCGCTGCTCTGGATGACGCGGTGATAGCTCCCGGTGAGTCCTGTGTCACCGAGGTTGGGATATCAACTCGTTTCAGTTCGAATTGCTTCTGAAAATTGGTTAGTGCTGCATGCGATTTTTGGAGGCGGGTCATATTTTGGTTTTCCGTTTGATCGGTGCTACGAATTTGGTCTCCAGTTTTGGCGTTTCAAATTTGGGAAATCGACCTGAAACCTTTTGATACATGTCCTAATTGGTGCCACGCCAGTTTCCGACGGAAATGCAGTTATAGCGTTCGTTTTCAAATCTGGCAGTCGTCTAATTCGTGCTGGGGTTTTCAATGCGGGACCTCGTCTGAGGGTCTCTGTTTGGATTTGGAATGTCCGCATTTGAATTTCAGTTCCTTCTATAGGTTCGAAACTCCGAGTTTTGGAGAGTGGCGCTGGAATTTTGGGCGCGATGTGATGAGGTATTCCAACTTTGATTTGAATGCCTTTGTGTTTCGAATTTCTTGATTCGTTATCTGATTTTGATGCGTTATCCATCTAGTGGGTTGGGCGATTTAATTTACACATCACATTGATCTTATTGGGCCCCTCTTTATCAACTAATTACCCCCCTTCCAGTGATTATTCTTCTGTTTTTGTCCTTTGAGTGGTTAATCTTCTGTGTTTGTCCTTTTGGAGTGATTATTAATGGATTTTTTAAAACTGTCAACTCCTGTTTGTGAATCCACAGGTCGCCGCGCCCACCGACTCCACCGCCGACAGCGACGCACCGCTCCTGGAGCAAATCAAGTCCGTCATGGCCGAGCTGCATGCCGCCGCCGGCCTCAGCCCGCGCTCCAAGCGCCTCCTCACGGCGCTCGCCGAGGCTGCTAGCGCCGAGCTCACCCCCACGACGACCACCGCACGCCGCCTCCGTCGCGCCACCTTCTGGGGCAAGGTGCGCGTGGCGGTCCTCGCCGCGACGGTCACCACCGTGGCCGCCATCGACGTCGCGCTCGCCGCTTACCTCTACGCGCGCCGCGTCAACGACCAGTACCACGTCATGCCCCCCACCTGATCCCACAGCACCACGCACCCCGACCGCCGCCGCCCGTGCGCCTCGACCTCGATCGTCCAGACGAAACTGTGATCGCTCCCTCCGTGTCCCTGCTGCAGTTGTTTAGTTCTAATTCTGGCTACTGATTTATGTTGCGAGTAGCGCATTGCATTGCACCATTAAGACATTAGCATTGGTGGTACCCTGGTATAGGTCAGAGAAGTATGTTCAGAAGAGAGTGATTAATGGGTGTTTGTGTGGTTCGGTTAACTGTATGAAGTTGATCGCACTGTTCGGTATCATCGCCTCGTTGGCTAATTGTTAGTGCTCTGATAATCACATTAAAGTATTCAAATCGGACGCTCCAGATATTTGCATTTTTTTCTCACGCTACTTAAGCAACATTCGAGGTATAACATCCGTATAAAAAAGAGTGGCATTCTAGATCTAAATAAAATCAACTTTCTAAGTTTGATTAATAAACTTATAGAAAGAAGTATTGACATTTATATGCAAATAGATTTACTATAAAAATATATATACTCCTTCCATTCTAAATTATACAATATTTTAGCTTTTCTATATGCATAGTTTTTGCTATACATTTAGATATACACTATCTCTAAATACATAGCAGAAGTACTGTATCTAGAAAAGATAAAACATCTTATAATTTACAGTAGAGAGAGTACTTATTATCATCATAAATATTAGAGCAATCATAAAAAAAATACTAAAGGATTGAACCTTTATTCCGTTCAACCCGCCCACCGACACGCAGGCGAGGAAGGAGGCCCTTCGGTAGGCGGAGGCGCTGGACGAGAGCTGAGGCGGATGGTGGAGATTCAGCATGCGCGCGCGGAAGAGTCCGTCGTCCAGTAGGCTGGCGGTCTAGGGCGTCGAGCGGGGGGAGGAGCGGCTGCAGGAGCAACTCAGGCGGGTGCTGCGGCAGCGAGTGGAGGTAACCGCATCAATCCACGCCGACGCGAAGTGCTGCGGATTGGATTTTGGGTCGCTGCATTTTATACCCAAGGGAGCTTGTACTGATTACAGGAAGCGAAAGCAACAGTGCATGGTAGCCCAGGTTGCTGCCTTGTATCCTGTGACGAGTCTTCCATGATCAGGCACATCATGCAGAAACCGTTGTCAAGATTCCAATGGTCAGAATCCATTACTCGTACTCCTCTCTTGAAGAATAATGTTTAACAGGATATGCATGACTTTATGAATGTCCTTTTGGAAGGAATGGCATTGCTATGACTTACTTCATGTCCCCACTAACAGAGGATACATGAGATTGACTGGTTTATCCAATAGACCCCATCCGTTGGCTGTGTCAAGTGAGCACGATCATTTCCTTGTGTCGTAGTACTGATCAATACTATATTTAGTGTTGGAATGTCAGTGTTTACATTTCCTAGTCCATGACCTAATATTGAAGCTTCCCCCATCTCCCTGATTGCATTTCTAGTCCATTACCAAATGCTTTTGGTGGTATAGATCTCAATTTCTGATAGCTAATCTGATTGATGGCATTGCTATCTGCACTTGAGGCTGAGAGAACTGATCACATTCATTGAAATCTCCATTTCGGTTCTGATACAGGTTGCTTAGGATATTCCTATTTAAATATCACTGATTAACACGTCCACAAATCATTTTTTTTCTACTAGAGAAATTAACAGGGGAAAATGGTACCTGAATCAATTTATGATGAGACACAGAACACTTTCAGGAGAGCATGAAATATTTGAGGAAAATAGAACACTTTCAGGAGCAAATGGAACACATTTACCCAGCGTTATGAAATCTGCACAGGTATATGCATTGACGTTTTTTGGCTGGCAAATCATGAAGTAGGAACAAAGCAAAAGAGTCACAGTGACAGGGAGCTTCAGAGGTCTGCAGCTGTTCTGGGATTCGCAGCACAAGTAAGTCTGTCTACTGGGTATGTTTTATTTTCACTATTTTTCTTCTGTGTAACGTAAGTATCCCAACTTAGCTGCTCTTACTGTGTGATATCCGAGGGATAAGGCACCAAATAAACTTTTGCACTATCAATCTTGAATGGATTTGGGTTTACATTATGCTACAGCATAGAAAAGATCAATTCTAGAACATTGGGTTTTCATTTATTAGTCTTTTTTGAAAATGTATATTAGTTTGGAATGTCAAAACATAAGCATCATGGTCCTTCCAAATTTCAGGTGATTTTTTTTAAAAAAAAAGAGATTTCATCTGCTTATATTGGAAACCAGTAAACGGTTTAACAGACTCTGGCGATACCAGATTACAATTTGATCAGCAGAAACGAGCAAAACACAGGTATACTATTACTGAGAGCTCTCAGATCGCGCCCTCATTTGAGATAATCATTGTTGGAGGTTTGAAGTTATGCATCCAGTTCAGCTCTCTCTGTTAATGTCACTAGCTTGTCTTTTACTCTTGATCTTTTGCATTCAGCAACAGGCACCACTTTTGCAATAGAGCCACACCAGTGAAGATTACATCAACAGGATTGCTGGGAAAAGTATGTTCGATCCCCATCTTGTTACGATTGTTCCTTAAAGCCCAAGCAAAACCTGCAAAAACAAAAAGGTCTAACTGCCGAGAAACCCCAAACTTACATTTGATCCAGCAACCCCAAAGATCTGCTGTTGACACCGGAAACCCCTGCCAGTGTAATACTTCCCTCAAACAGCACCAAATCATTCTTGCTATAGAGCAACCAAAGAAAGTATGGTCAGTATACTCTAAATCTCCACATAAGCTACACTTAATACTGCCCTTCCAACCCCTTTTCTTTAAGGACATTGCCGACTGTAACTTTTTATGACATAGCTGCCAAACGAACACCTTCATCTTCATGGGAAGTTTACATTTCCAGATTACCTTTGCTTGATGGTCTATAGTCCCTCCATGGGCCCAAAATATGTATAAAGACCTAGTTCTAAAGGATTTAGATTTATCTAAAGCCCAAAATACCTCATCCTTCCTATCATGGTGAATCTCAGTGTCATTAATCACCTGCAGCATATCATCCCAAGCCCTGTATTTTTGCTTGGTACAGACATCTCCTAAACTACATACTGCATGCTCCATACAGATCTCATCTTGTTCCTGCATATCATCCTGCCTGGGCACATCCCTGACTCCATGTATCTCAGCACGTAGTGGGCCTCAGGGTTGGCGTTTCCGGCCACCTTTGGCCGCCAACGCGCCGGCCACCGCCTAGGGACCGCTAGGCATCTGCAGTACCCGCCGCCCAGAGCATAAACGCCTGGGCGAGCACGGAATAGCGCCTTGTGGTACACTGAAATTGCCCCCCAATGAAAAAAGGTTAGTAATTGTGAAGAACCCCTGTGCTGAGATAAAGTGATTTGTCCCCCTATGTATTTCACCTTAAGCAATCGAGGCCAAGTCTCATCGGAACATTAATTAGTTTCCAAATCCACTTTACCAGCAAACATTCATTCATAAGATAAGCGAACAGGGCCGTCTGCGTGTACCTCTGATTTTCAATCACAAGGGTTGCAATCACGGTCGAGTTGCTTATCTTATGTATTTTTTGTAGGCAGTTTTGCTCATAGGTTCCTATCTCGATGTTCCCCTCCGGTATCCTTTGCGCTTTGGAGGATCCTGTTCTTACATGAGCGATTGTTTGCCTTCAGCAGAAACAGTGTCTTCTGCTTCAGGTCAACACCTGAGTGTCTACAACACCGTGTCACAGCAGGATATCCCCTTTTCCTGGAATGCCAAGACGACGACTCGAATAGTGCATCCTATACCATTTATTTGTCGCATAAGGTGTGCATTTCCTACCGAATCTTGTATCATAGCTGCTATATCTCCGTTGCAATGCTTGTCTGATTTCAGACAGAGCTAGCAAAATTCATCACAGCAGACTGGAACTGGGAAGCGCTTCCTCATGGGGATGACTCTTTCCTGGTGGAATTCCCATCTGAGGATGAACTCAAACGAAGAGTCGATATTGATTTTTGTTTGAAGAATCATGGGGTCACATTGACAATCTCAGAGTGGCAGGATGCTAGTGACTCTATTCCGGCTTATCATCTTGATGAAGTTTGGGTTCATGTCAGTAAAGTCCCTCATCCTTGGTGCCACTACCTTGGCTTTTGGGCACTCGGTACAGTCATTGGTGCTACTCTAGAGGTTGATATGCTCACTTATAGGAAAAAGGTGTGATCCGGATTCGGGTGGGGATGATGAACAGAGAGTATTTACCCTTTACCACCGATGTGGTTTTTGGAAAAGTAGGACATGAAGTAACTTTCAGTTTGGAGGAGGCAAATTTTGAGCCAGCAATTCCTCCACCGAATCCAGATTACTCTGATCGGGATGAGGATGCGGCTGGAAAAGATGATGCAAATCATGGGCGTGATGGTGGACAGGCCCAGAAAAAGCAGAAAACTATAGAGAACACGTCATCTTCATCTAATGCCCCTACTAGAGGTGGACCTGTGCCAATGCAATTGGCAACTGCGATGTCACTGCTCGAGAAAAAAGGCCTAGGGAAACTGAGCCAGTTACTAAGCCTAGATGACATAGCTAAGCCAGTTACTAAGCTACCAGAGAAAGCTACTAGTGGTGAACGTACTAGTACTGAACCCAGTTTGGAAGCTACAGAACGATCATTAGTGGCTGGGACACATACTTTGCCTTCTGATCAGTCACACTCGCCCAGGCTCAGCAAAAAGGTGACACCTACTCAGCCCATGCCAACCTCGCCTAGGCCAAAGGTTGGGACAAACAGCAGGTCGACATCACCTATACCCATGCTGTGTGAAATTGATAGCAGTGTTAGACCGGAGATACCTCATAGCAGCAGTTCTGCTCCGACCATCAGGCAGACAGTTAAGCCTGCAAAATCAGGCGATCTGTTGATGTCAAGGCTGATGACTCCGCGTCCGTCGGCTTCAAGCAAGCTGGGCAAAGATGTTGCAACTAATATTAATGATGGTTCAGGGTTACAATCCCCTTCAGGTACAAATGAAAATTCATTATCGCTATTGAATTCAACTGAAGGACTACGATGTAGTACACGTACTAATATCCAATCTGCTGATGGAATTTCCACAGCTGACGAGGATATGACGAGCAAAGCTATGCGAAGGGCTGCCATCCGAAATTTGGATAGCCCTCCGGAGAAGAAGTCGGCGGCTGCACAGAGTGTGGTGCCGCATTCGCCTTCATCTCCGTCGATTCCACAGCCTGGTATGCACAGCTCCTGCCCTGCTATTTCCTTTATTCCTATTTCGAATGCTTCTTGTGTTAGAAATCTAAGTAACTTAGGTTATAAATTAGGTAATAGCAGTGCAGAGTGTACTTTGTCTATTAATGCTTAAAAAAATAGAAGTTGATAGAACGATTGTAACACCACCCACAAAACAATCGAAAAAAGGAGATATGAATGTGGGTGTTACTAAACCATTGATTCTTGATGCTAGTGATGACAAGACCGTCGTAGATGACGACCTGCTCACTCATTTGATCAAGGATGTGTCGGAGGTGGATTTTGAGGACATGGACCCGGACACAAAATTATGTGATCTGAAGGCCACTATCCGAAAATCAAAATCTACCTCGAGAAAACATAAGATCCGGAAAAGGGTCATAAATAAAACCTAGTTTACCAATGAAAGGTTTCTTTTGGAATAGCAGAGGTTTATCGGACCTAGCTAAATTCCGATATATTTCAGAGGCAGTAAAGGACCATAGTGTAGATTTCATTGCTATCATGGAAACAGGTGTAACACCCTCGGTGTTACACTGAAAATCTTTTACTAAAACATGTCATGAGCATCATGGTTATGTGATAGTGTATGTAATATAGTGTGTAAATCAATTTACGTAACTTAAAACGACATACGGAAATGCATAACGCAAAGTTGTTCGTGACGCATGAAATTTATCAAACGATGTTCGCAAATTTTTATTGAGCGAAAACACTATAGAACATATATACGGAACTTTAGTAAAGTTGGAAGCATGGACTTTGTAGATGGCGATGAAATACCTTCGGTCGAGAAAGGAATTCACAAGTTAGCATACATAATAGCTTGGAAATCGAAGTTGACGCGAATCCGAGCAAGACTTAACCAAATCTGTTAAGTCGGAAAATGGTTTGACAAGGCCAAGTTTGGCAATTTTTGTAGAAGAATCGGGTTAAGGAGTGATGGGGTATTAGGGCTTGTTTTAGTAGCCTAACATGCCCTCTTGAGTATAGAATAGGTGGTTCGGTGTTTGAAGTAACGAATTTGATTTTGGGGGCGCTTTCAAAATCGTGCATGGCACGTTTTCGGCCGGTGTCAGCGTCTGGGCGTGGTCACCATGCCTCGGCTCGGCGCTGCAGCGCTGGTTTGCCCGACACGCGTGCACACCGCCGCGCAGGCCCTAGCCACCGCTGCCCTATCTCGTCTGGCCGGCCGGGCCTGCCTCTGGCCGTCGCGAGCCGGCTGCACTGCTGGCGCCGCGCTACTGGCCACTGCCACCCGCTGCCGCGCTGCTGCTGCCCGTTTCGGCCGTCGCGCTGCGCGGCTCTGCTACCTTGTGTTCACCTGCGCGGGGCTGTTGCGCGTGTGGCTGCACTTGGCCTGCTGCGACCGGCACATGGCCTCTGCCCGCACCGCCGTGCCACAGCCACTGCCGTCTCGTCACCGTGTTGCCTCGCGCTGTCGTCGTCGCGCCACAGCACGCGCACGTTCCTCTGTGCCGTGTCGTCACGTCGGGGGCACTGCGCGTGCAGGCGCGTGGCACCCCCATGTGCCGCTGCTCTGCCTGGCGTCCGCGTCCTGCCGAGGCGACACAGCACCCGCTGCGCGTCGTGCCACTGCCTCTGCCGTCCTTGATCTGCTCGCGCGTGCAGCCGTTCCCCGTGGCATCTTTGTCCTCTTCCATTTAGTAGCAAGCACCACGCTGCGCCCCCCGTCACCTCCGCCTTAAATGGCGTCGCGCCGGCGTCACCAAGCCGCGCCTGAGCCAGCTCCAGCGCCGGGTCGCTTCTAGAGTAATTGCGCTCGCTTGTGACTCGAGTGAGAACCTAGCTACCCACCAAGATCGCCCACTGCGGCTGCCGTACCATGTCGAGCCCCAATTTGAAGATTCCCCGGTCGTCGGTCATCCTTATGACCGAACGGTGGCGCCCTCGCAATTCGCCTCGCACCGTCCACCTCCATCCAATTCCTTAGCACCGTGTATTAGCCTTGATCCCCTCCACCCCCCGCGCACCTCAGCCCAGCCGCTATCGGCCCGCCTTGGTCGCTGACGCGACAGTGTCACTACAGAGCGCCGCCGCATCCCACCGTCGCACGTGACCAGCTCGGTTCAGGGATTTCCCGGCCAAATCACCACCACAGCAGGAACAAGGGTACGCTAGGGGTGCTTTAGAGCTAGCTATCTCGTCCCGCGGTGGTTTTGGGTGGCCGGCGTGGTCGCGTCGCCGCCGCGCTTGGCCGCGCGCCGTGGCCATCGCTCCCGCGAGCTCCGCCGCCCCTGTAACTTCGGCTAGGGTAGGCGCTTGGGATGAGGGTGCTGTTCGGCTCGCTAGCGGGGGCGGGGAGAGGCCAGGAAGGCTGGCTGGCGGCCCAGTGTCGTCGTCGTCGCGCCGGTGCGCGCGGGGTGTGCCCGAGGACTTGGTCGTTGTGAAGATAGAATGTTCCGAGGGTTAGATTGCTTAAGTCCAGACTGTAGGAATAGTGATGTGGACTGCGTCTTGATTCGGTATTAGCTCAAGGTCGTTTTCGCAAAATGACAGGCGCACGCGGGCCTCCCCGTCTCGGGTCGTTGCCGCGCGGTTGGGCTGCGCCCCGCATGGGTCGCGCCGGCGGATCGCGTGCGCGCGTGCTGTGCTGTATGGGCCGCGCCGTGAGTTAGTGGGCCACGGGTTGAATTCAGTTTTTCTTTTTTCCAGAGAATTAGTAAATGCTTTTCTAATTTAATTTTGAGCTGATCTTTGTAAAATTATAGTAAATTATGTATGTGTCCAAAAATAGTGAAACAAAATTTGTTAGATTCACAAAAATGTTGTCTATCTGTTGGTGTAGTTAGTTTACCGTTATCTGTGATAATGATAGGTTCATTAATTCATTTAGGAAAGCTTAGTATTATTTAGTTTAATATTTGTAGAAATTTTTGTGGTAAATTGGTGATAGCTTTAGCCATGAAATTTTTACAGTGGGTTTATTAGATTATTATGTGCGCACTGTAATTTTTATAGCCCTAGAGTAGGTTGATAAATAGCGTAGCTAATACTCCTTGTTTTATCATATGCAGAGTAAATCGATATTAAGAATAGGGATGCCTTTAGTTGCTAAGATGATGCATGCAATATTTCATACCTGTTAGTGGTAATAATAGGTAACTTAGCATCTTAATCGGTAGAGCTAGCTTAGTAGCTGATAGATGTATTTTATTTTAAAAGTTGCTGTTGCCGTATTATTAAGTGTTACACCATCATTTCATGCATGTAGATAACGAGTTGGTAGAGTTCATGCCTGCGAGTGAACAGGAGTACGAGGAGATCATTGAAGAGTACGAGGAGATTCTCGTTCAGGAGGGAGCCCTGGAGCCATCAGTTGCTAACCTTGTTGACATCCCGCCTACCTAAGGCAAGCCCCGGTGCATAACCCTTATTTTGAACGATCACCGAATATATATATGATGTGTATTTACGTTACATGCATTTTATGTAAACTACGTGCATAGATATACTTACCTATGAGTTCTACTAGTATAGGTCGAGTAGCTGCTATGTTCAGGATTGCGGTAGCGTGAGTAATCTGCCGTTACTTACAATAGGTAATAATTATGATCACTCAGGATAAAATGGTGGAAAAGGAAACTGGAGACCAGACAGAGATATGGTTTGGGTATTAGTGGGTGTAAGAGGTTGTGTCCTGCGGTCAACAGGGCATAGCTTGGTTACATTTTTTCCCTGTCTGTGTCGGTTAAGGACCGGCCATTGCATTGGGTTCTAGGCAATTTCCAAACTTATTATCCCAAACACATACCTGTGTATGGGCGCAGAGAAGGCTTGTTGCTCTTTTGTCGTGGGTTTCAGCTCTTTCCGAACCGACTGATTGGAGGTGGGGATGGTGGAGGTCTAAGCACCGCACTAAGTCTGGGACTCAGGAGCGGGGGCTTAGAGTCCAAGTTTGGACGGGGACCTGGACCCCATGACAGGAGAGTGGTGGGTTGGTCCTACTTGTGCCTGGGGTACAAGCAGGGCGTGTGTTTCGGGGTACCCAGCTGGGCACATTGATTCGCGAATCGCCAGCGTTTCGGTACGGCTTGTCTACAGTTTTGCACCGTAGTAAGAACTGAAAGATGAAAGGTGATGAAATGGAACTGTTTGTTCAACTCTTACTTGAAAGTAGAACACGTGCTTACATAGAATGACTAGATAATGAAATAATTATGACTGCTAATAATAACATAAATAAGGATTCACTATTAGTATTGATTTGTGCAAAAAGGAAATCAGCAAACCATAAAGCTTATCATATCTCTTAGAGTCGGGAAATTATTTCCACTAGTCGGATAAGTCTTGCGAGTACATTGTGTACTTAGGGTTTATTTATCCCTGTTGCAGGTGCAGCTTGAGGAGTAGCCGTTGTGTGAAGGATTCTTCTGGTGGGAACAGACGGATCCTTGTTTATTATCGATAGATGTTTATTTTTATTCCGCTGTTTAATATTCCGCACTCTGAATTTAGTAATGTAATAATACATTTCTAAGAACTCTGGATGTATAAAATAGACTAAGTATTGTAACTCGTTCTCATTATTGGATCATTGGAGAAAAATATGGATTATTCGGGCTCTCCCTTGGGGTGTGCTCGACGGAACCCGTCTGATGTAGCTCGCTCTCGGGGTGCTTAGTGTCAGTGGAAGATAAGCGCCTCTGTAAGTACGTTATTTCGGACGGTTCTACCATAACAGGGAAACAAGACATGTCAGAGATGAATTTGGCACGACTCTCGAGAGGTGCAGATTTCGTTTGGCATTGTCTTCCACCTCGTGGTAGATCTGGTGAAATCCTTCTTGGAGTCAACACAGAAATGCTACCTTTCCTTAATTGTAGAAGGGGAATTCTATATTAAATTCTATTTATGCAACAAAGCAGATAATTTCAAATGGATCGTTATGGCGGTCTATGGTCCAGCCTAGGATGATTTTAAATTGACCTTTTTAGCTGAACTAGTTAGAGCATGCCAACAAAATCCTTTACCCACATTAATTGGTGGAGATTTTAATATTTTGAAATATAGCAAAGATAAAAATAATGACAGATACGTTAACCGTTGGCCTTTCCTGTTCAATGCTGTTATTGACAGTTTTGATCTTCGGGAAATGGATTTAACGGGACGACAATTTACTTGGACCAATTCACTACCTAAACCCACATACGAGAGATTGGATAGGGCTCTTATGTCAACTGAATGGGAGTTTAAGTATCCTTTAGTCTCGCTACAGGCCTTTGATAGGGGGTGTCGGACCACACAACTCTACTTTTAGATACGGGAACACCGACCATTAAGGGGAATGGAAAACAGTTCAAACTTGAATTAAGTTGGTTCACCCATGAGGATTTCAATGATCGAGTTATTGAGATCTGGAATAGGCCGGTGAAAGGTAGGAATTCAGTCCAACATTGGAACAATAAGTGCAGTGCCTTGCGGAGACACTTACGTGGATGGGCTCCCCATTTTAATGGAGTTTATAAGCAAACAATATTCGAACTTCAATCAATAATTAATGACCTAGACATTGTTGCGGAGGTCAGGGATTTGACTGAACCTGAACAAGAAAATCTTGCTCAATCTCGGGATTAACTGACCAAATTACTTAGAGAAGAGAAAATCAAGTACTATCAGAGGGCAAAGGTAAAAGATGTCCTTTTGGGAGATAACAACACTAGATACTTCCAAATGGTCGCCAATGGTAAACATCGGAAAAAAGATTTTTTCCCTTGACCATGCAAATGGCATTGTTGAGGGTCAGGCAAACCTAAAAGCCTATATCACTAGGTTTTATAAGGAACTTTTTGGAGAACCTAAGGTTAGTTCCTTTACTCTGGAGGAGGATAAGATCTTCGATATTCCTCAGGTTACACAGACTGAGAATGACATTCTAACCACACCCTTTACCGAGCAAGAAGTGCAAGCGATTTTTATATGGAACATAATAAAGCACCTGATCCAGATGTTTTTCTAGCTGAATTTTATCAAAAATTCTGGAATACCATCAAAGGGGATCTAATGCAAATGTTCCATGACCTATACGCAGGGGATTTACCGCTTTTTAGTTTGAACTTTGGGGTAATTACCCTTATCCCAAAAGTCCAAGAAGCGAACGTGATTCAACAATATCGGCCGATCTACCTGCTTAATATGAACTTCAAAATTTTCACAAAAGTTGCAGCCAATATGCTAAATTCAGTGGCAGACCATGTTATTAGTCCAATTCAAACAACGTTTATGCGAGGACAAAATATTCTAGAGGGTGTTGTCATCTTGCATGAGATTGTTCATGAGTTGCTTCGAAAGAAACAGAGTGGGGTAGTCCTCAAGATAGATTTTGAAAAGGCGTACGATAAAGTTAAATGGCCCTTTTTCTTTCAAGCACTACGAATGAAAGGGTTTTCTCCCAAGTGGATAGATTGGGTTAAAACTTTCATTTCGGGTGGGAGTGTAGCAATTAATGTTAATGACGATGTCGGCCATTTCTTTCAAACTAGGAAAGGCCTTCGACAGGGCGATCCTTTATCCCCATTGCTTTTTAACATTGCAGCACATATGCTAGCTATTCTTATGAATAGGGCCAAAGTAGACGGCCAGATTAGTGGAGTAGTGCCTCATCTCATCGATGGTGGATTATCTATTCTACAATACGCTGACGATACAATTCTTTTTATGGATCATGACCTTGAGAAAGCCCGAAACATGAAGCTGCTGCTTAGTGCCTTTGAGCAAGTATCAGGTTTAAAAATCAATTTTCATAAGAGTGAATTGTTCTATTTCGGAAATGCCCAAGACCACCTTGATCAATACGTGGAACTTTTTGGTTGTAAGTCTGGTGATTTTTCAATTTGGTATTTGGGAATTCCTATACATTTTAGGAAGCTTAGGAATGCTGAGTGGAGGAAGGTTGAGGAACATTTTGAGAGGCGAATGGGTAGTTGGAAAAGAAAACATCTTTCAATTGGTTCAGTTCTTAGCAGCCGACCAATGTATATGATGTCCTTCTTTGCCTTGCCAAAAGGAGTCTAAAAGAAATTGGATTATTTCCGGGCTAGATTTTACTGGCAAGGAGATGAGCAAAAAAAGAAATATCGTTTAACTAAATGGAGCATATTATGTTAGGCCAAAGACCAAGGAGGTCTTGGAATTCATGATCTGCATATTAAAAATATTGCTCTACTTAGTAAATGGTTGTTCAAGTTACTTACCACATAGGGGACTTGGCAGCAATTACTCCGTAATAAATATTTAGGCTCGAAACCATTAATACAAGTGGAATGGAAAAATGGTGATTCACATTTCTGGTCTAGTCTTATGAAGGTGAAGCGAGACTTTTCCGCTTTGGATCCTTCATTGTAAAAGATGGAACATAAGTACGTTTTTGGGAAGACAAATGGCTAGGGAATTCGTCTTTACAGGAACAGTACCCGTGTCTTTACAACATTGCTAGACCTAAACACGTTACCATTGCGGAGGTTCTTTCTGGTCCTTCACCAAACCTATCTTGGCGAAGAGACCTCATTGGTCCCAAATTAGTAGCATGGAACAGTTTGTTGTCCCGTATTGCTAATATAGAGTTGGCCATGAACAAGATGAGTTTCGCTAGAATTTAAATCCAAATGGAAAATTCTCGGTGAAGTCACACTATCGAGTGTTATTACATACTGATATCCCAAACATTAACAAACTCATTTGGAAAGTGAAAGCCCCACTTAAAATAAAAATTTTCTTGCGGTACCTAAGACGAGGAGTTATATTGACAAAGGATAACCTAGTAAAGCATAATTGACAAGGTAGTAAAACTTGTTGCTTTTGTCACAAAGAAGAGACAATTAAGCGCTTGTTCTTTGACTGCTGGTTTGCTTGTTCAATTTGGTCTTTTATTCATGTTGTGACATGTCTTTTAAAACCCCACAGTATAGGTCATATGTTCAATGGCTGGCTAAGAGGTGTCAACAAAGATATCAAGCTTTTATTCTTGCTAGGAGGAGCTGCGACTTGTTGGTCTATTTGGCTCAGCAGGAATGATATTGTTTTTGAAAAGAAAAAATTTGTTTCTCCTGTGCAGGTTATCTATTTGGCTACCCACTGGCTACGTACTTGGGCTATCCTGCAGAAGCCGAATTTGCAGGATACAGTTGTAGCGGTATCACAACAGTTGACACAGGTGACCAAGGAATTTTTCTCCAAGGCGCATGGGTGGCGTTCTAGAATCGATAGTCACTGGATTGTGCCAGGTTTCTTCTCTTTCTTTGGCTGTGTGCCTCATGTTAGGCAGAGGCCGGAAGTTGCCTTCTTTGGCTTTGTATCAACTCGATTTATTGCTTGTGAGGTTTTAATAAAAGCTTCCTTTATCAAAAAAAAAAAAGTTTTCACCTGCAAACTGAGACTGTTACGTTCATTTCTATGTTGATGATTAGGATCCAGAGCAGCTTCTGAACTGGAAGGCACGCGTTTGGTAACCTGCGAGAGCTTCTTAGGATCATACATTGGAGTGGAGAGCTCTGGAACTGGAAGGCACGTGTTTGGTAACCTGCGAGCGCGTTTGGTAACCTGCGAGAGCTTCTTAGGATCATACATTGGAGTGGAGAGCTCTGGAACTGGAAGGCACGTGTTGGTAACCTGCGAGAGCTTCTTAGGATCATACAGTCTGATGAGTATGTGTGCAGATGATGTAATTTTGGAGTGCTTATGCTGTCGAGGTGTCATACAGATGTAAGCAGGTATTTTGCTCTTCATATTTTTCTGCGTGGTTCTTGCCGGCTTTCGCTGCGCCAGGCTTTTGTATGCGCGACAAGTAGGCGTTTTAGATTTTTCTCGATGGAATGAAATGGTATACATATACGGCGTTACATGCGCCTACCTAATCGTCTACAACATGTGTGTTTCAGGTTTCTCCTACGTGTTTATCCTAGCCAAACCAGATATTGTGCAAATACCAATGTCGACATCACAATTTTGTGACCGACACGAGACCTGAGATTCTGGCACTGTTCTCACAATGCCAGTATCGAAAAACGGAAAACCGGGATTCATGATGCACCTCCGAATGGCATGGCTTTCCAGCCTGGCGTTGTTGCGTGAGAATACTACCACCACTAATCTCCAGCTGGATCAGAGCGGCAAACCACAAAGCGGACTTTTTCTATGGTTGGGGTTGAGAAAGGCAGGGCTCTTGCCTCTTGACGTGCCTTCCTAAAGCCGGGTGCATCAACAAGCTGTGGCCATCATCATCCGCCGCACCGCACGACCGGCGGCCAAGGGTGAGATGAGACATGAGCGCCGGAAAGAAGCTTTTCGGCACCGTCCAGGATCCACCCACCACTGAATTCCTCCTGATCCGAAAAAGAAGCCAGCTGCAACGACTCAACCAGGCAGGGCACAGCACATCAGATGATCAGGTCGGCAGATCCCCCAACCCCACCAGAGGCCACCATCGCCACCCCACCCACCGCCACCAAACACGCGGGAAAACAACCCCACCCACGCCGATCCTCCCTGTCCTCTCCTCTCCTTCCTCCCGACTCCCGCGGGCCGCGGGCGGCGTGGACGCACGTGCCAGTTGCCACCGCCAGGGGGAGTCCCTGGCGCGCGGGGCCCGCGCCTGCCACCTTCCCCCGCGGCCGTGCCCGTGCTCCCTGTTGCCAATTGCCATCGCTTTTGCCGGCGCGCCGCTCTCTCTTGAGCTTTCCTTTCCTGTTCGGTCGGTATCCCTGACCTCCTGTTCCCGTCTCTCTCTCTGCTCGGCCACCCGCCATCGCCATTGCCGCCCCGCCGCACTGGAGGCGCGCCAGCGGTGTGCGGCGGCCTAGGCCTTCCCGGTGGCTCCCTCTGCCACCGACGACGACGGCGGCGGCGATTCAGCCGAGGCGGCGATCCTCCTCGTGTTTTCGCGGCTCAGGTCTTTCTTCCTGACGTGCCTCGGGTTTCTGATCCCGCTCCTGCCTGCCGCCGTCGCCGGTGACGCTCGCCTTGCTGTGCCCCCGCGTGGCGCTTCTCGCTTTTCCAGATCCCGGGCTCCGATCAGATCACCGGCTACCTAAAGGTACGATCGGCCGATCGCTATGCTATCTGAGTGCATCTGAAAACAAGGATCATGTGCATTTGTGTTCTTATTTGTGCTTTGGCATTTATATATGCTCTGTCCGAGCTAAACATTGGTATATACTGTTATCTAGGCATCACATAAGCTGCAAATATGTTCTGTTTACTTCATTTCTTGTTCAGCCTGTCAAATCCAGCGAGTTAATGTTGCTTCTGTGTTTCCATGTGCTGGATTCGTCTAGGCAACTGACAGAGGACAGGCCATGGGCATTGAGGTTGAGGCAAAGCAAGATGCTTGGCGCAGCATCAAGAAAACGCTAAGGTGTTGTATCAGAACAAGCTGGAGATGTGCCTCTGAACATTGGGCAATATTCAGCCTAGTGCTACTGCTCTACCTGCTGTACAAGTACACGCCGGGTTTCTTCGCTTTCCTGCTTTCCACATCTCCGGTGATTATATGCACCAGCCTTCTCCTTGCTGTGCTGCTATGCCATGGGAGCGCACACCTACCGGAGATCCATGAAGACAGGAAGGCTCCTGAACAAAGTTCAGCTGGGAGCTCGTCCGGAAATGTTCGTACTGAAGAACAACAGAGATTTTCAGTGCCTACATTGAAGAAGAACATAGCCGGGGAGGCAAGTTTTGGCAGAAGGGACTGGAACAAGCATGCTGATCTGGATGAAAATGTTCCTCTTCTGAAGCAAGTTTGTCAAGGGGATGAGAGAGTCGGAAATTTTCACACTTTTGTTCCTTCGCTGAAGCAAGAAGCTGCTACGGAAGAGTACATGAAGTATAATGCAGAAAAAGAGTCTCAAGGTGCATTTTCTAGCAAGGATGAGTATGCCAATTCATTCGATGACGTGCATCGTAATACAATTGACGGGGAAGAGGCCACCCTAGGCCTTTGCTCTTCAAGTGAGAATGTCAGTGAGGATGTTAAAGTGGTGGCAAAGCCAGATGATCAAGGGACAGTATCTACAGATGCACAGAGTGGTGAGGTGGCAGATGTTTCATCAGACCATAAGGCTGTTGATGGAACTCCAGGTAAATGCAAATGGGGTCGTGCTTTTTCTGTGCGCCGGAGGAAGAAGCTTGCTGATATAAAGATTGAGGCTATTAATTCTGTTGTGGACAACCAATTAGACCATTCTCTATGCTCGCCATTCGATACATTTGGCAGCCATGATAACAGTTCATCAGGATTTCACCCTGATAATGCAGAGAGACACTCTCCTCATGTTTCTATGACAGTCACTGCTATGGTGCTTGATGAGACCGAGACGGGCCCTCCTTTGGGTGTTGATTGCTCTTGCCCTGATCCCATTACTACTGATGATTCAGACAATCATTTCAACATATCTTCTCTGGATTCTCAACCACAGAGTGTTAACAATGAAGTGGCTGACAATAGCAAGGCCAAAGATGATGGTGAGGAGAAGAAGGATGATGCTGGAACTGAGCCTGCACTTCTGTGGACAGCTGACAACGAGAAGAATGTCATGGATCTTGGGTACTCCGAAATCGAACGGAACCGTCGGTTGGAGACACTGATGGTGAAGAGAAAATCAAGGAAACACATACAATTTGATCCTGACAGCATGGGCGGTATAGCAGATCATGATGTATCACGATTCCGTCCCCAAGTTCAGCCTATTTCAGTTTCAGCACGAAGGATGAGCCCCTTTGCTGATGATGCGGAAATTCCAGGCTCGGCTCCTCCTATTCTGCATCCACGAGACAATAATCCCTTCGATTTCCTTACTGATGAACAATCAGACGACAGTGGCCTCCCTGCACCCGATAACCTGGAACCCCAGGAACCGATGCCAGTGCTGCATCAAGACGCGGTCTTCAGAAGGCACGAGAGCTTCAGCTTCGGCAGGCCACCTCAGAGTCAGAGACACGGACCCAGCAGGTTCAAGCCATGCTTTGCCCTGGAGGAATTCAGCCTTGACGAAGCGAGCGCGAGCAGCTTCCAGAGGCAGTTCAGTGACAGGAGCGCGTCAAGGCTGAGCGTCGTCTCCGAGTGCGACACGGTCTCTTCGGTCGGCGATCAGGAGCACAACGACCTCATACGGAACTACATCCGCGGGGTGCGCGAATCATCGCCGAGCCTGCTAGGGCAGCAGGACGGCGGCGATGGCGACGCTGTGTCTGTGTGTGCTGGAAATGAGTGCTCGGACGGGATCGGCTTCGTGGACAATGAGGCTCTGAATGCCGTCATCTGCTGATGATGAATGGATATGAACGAGCCCTTGGACTCCACTGCAACGAACTTTGATGGTTGTGGATGAAGAGCAGACGAGGTTGCTGTAGCCCTTGTATGTTTTCGTTGTTTCTTTTCCTGTTTGCACTCGTCTGACAGGGGGTTTGTATTCTAGTACTAGTATACTTGGTACGTTTGCACAGTACAAAACATGTATACTGTCTTGCTGTACATTCTTGCGTGTAGTTGCGTACGGAGTACTGTACAAAGGATCAGATGCTAGAAGGCTGAACACTTGCAGCCAGCACCTGGGCCTCGTTTAGATGCTGAAAAAATTTCAACCCGATGAATAGTACCACTTTCGTCTTATTTGACAAATATTGTCCAATCGTAGACCAACTAGGCTCAAAAGATTCATCTCGTGATTTCCAACTAAACTGTGTAATTAGTTATTTTTTTTATCTACATTTAATACTCCATGCAAGCGGCTAAAAATTGATGTGATGGAGAGAGAGTGAAAAAACTTGGAATTTTAGTGGCATCTAAACAAGGCCCTGTTTGCAGTTTTGTTTGCACATTGTACCTTTTTCTTCAGTTCTGAATCTCTCGAGCAGTGTGGACCTGCGCTGCCCGCGGTTTCTCCAGTTCAGAGCTGTGGAGTTGGAATTTGAACTTGGAAAGCCTTGTCTTTGTGGGGAGATTCTTCTCCCAACTGGCGCCAACGAAAATGCTAGTCGTAGGCATTTTTCTCAGTAGCTTCTGCGCTAGCCGCTAGGAATGGCATGCCAGCCACTGCACGACACGCAATCGCTGTAGATGCCAAAAACTTTGAGGCTTTTCTCATTATAAAAGATGCTCCATTTCTACGTGTTACTAACAAGTTCATACGGACTCTGATGCCATGACGCTAAACTTTCTTGTCCTTCACGCTATTCCGTCCGCCTTCGGTTAGATTTCCACCGTTTGCTAGCCCTGACATGTAGACCAGACCAGAGAAAATGTACAAAATGCCCCCCTCTCTCCCAATCCCTCCCCACGCACGTCGCGCTCCTGCGCCCCCGCCCCTCCGGCGCCATGCCTCGGATAGAGGAACTCAAACGCCGGCGCGGCGGGTGCGGCTAACACCTCGTTGGCGGCGTAATGGAGAACGGAGGTTGGCGACACGAAACAGCAAACCAGGGTGGGGTCGTCCCACCGCCATGCGGATCAGCCGACGCAGCGCCTCCACCATTGCCATGGCCGGGCCGGGCGAGAGCCTCTCCGTCTTCTTCCGCGGCACCTCCGTCGTTTCGGGGTCTCCCGCGAGGGCGAGCCTCATGCGCGACCGGGGAACAAAGCGCCTCGGCGGGAACTTGGTGACGACGTGGGAGCCCTTAAGGCGGAGCGCGTCGTCGTCGTAGGCGCGCGGTGGCTCCTCGGCGGTGTCGAAGGTGCCGAGGCACAGCGCTTCACCGGCGCTGGTCGTGGATCTTCGCCGCGAACTTGCCCCACGGCAGAGCCGCCTGACGGGAACGCCGCGTTTAACCCGGCCCCGAGGCGCGGCGCCGCGACGAGCACCGCTGGGGCAGCGATGGCAGCTTCTTCCGGGAGCACCAGCGCTGCGCCGCCCATGTCGGGCCGAGGCGGCCTCCACGTCGATGTGGATGACCTCCCGCACGCGCCGCTTGGCGCGCTCGTCCTCGTCGGAGGAGGAGTTGTCGGTGTCTCTGTGGCGCGTCGCGTTCACGAAGTAAGGCGGACACGCTTGGGCGGGAAAGGGCGGCCCAGCAGCGGCGGCCCGCCGGAGGTGAGGGAGTTGATAGAAGACATCGCCATGGGCCGGATCCACCGCCCAACCAAGAACCTCCAAGAAATCCCCAAAAGCCTCGCTCAAATCGAGCAACCTAGAACCAAAATTACACCCCAAAAAGTAAAACTTTCCGAGAGACCAGCATGAACCTTTCGAAAACGAATAGATTCGGAGGCTTTGTAGGGGTTGATCTTCACAGATCTGCTACCGCTCCTAGTGAGCTAACGACAGCAGCACACACTCCCAAGTCAGAGACCGTCAAACAAAAGCAAAGGGAGCCCAAGAATCCCCACCACCCAAAACCTCAAAATCGGAAATGAAACCTATGAAATTGGGCTCGAGGATCCATATGTCAGGGTATTCTGGACATTATCACTGGTCGGGCCCGTATGTCAGGGCTATCAAACGGTGGATACTAACTGAAGGCGAACGGAATAGCGTGGAGGACAAGAAAGTTTAGCATCATGGCACTAGGGTCTGTGTGAATTTTTTTAGTAATATATAGAAATGGAGCATCTTTCGTAATGGCACGAATGGAAAAAGCCTCGAAAACTTTCCATGCACAAGTCACACGGTTCAAGGAGGAACAGTGCAGCGTGGATAGCCATTCATGGACGATGGACGCCGAACGCCGTGCTGCACAGGTTAAGGTCTGTGGAGGTCCGGAGAATCCTGAGAGACTTCTGCATAAAAGTTTTGATAGCTTCTGCCACTGGGCGCTCCATGACAAAGAAACCTTGCATTAGGTCGGTCCCAAGCTACTCGTAGGGACGGACTGATGGGCAGATCACGGGGAAACATAGACCGAGCTGACCAAGCCAGGTTTCAGAGAGAAGATGATGACGTCGGCTCGGAGATTGCAAACACAAGTAGCGTTGGAACCGAGTACATCCATGATCCGATCGAATGGCATTCTAGCACCCCGGTTAGTTTGTTAGGATTAATGTTATCATAAGCGATAAACAATCAGTCACCTTTATTTACCGTTTAGATCATATATTTACACGGAGTTAAATCATTTAATGGTTTTGTAAATACGTATTTATACTTTAAAAAAGTACTGTAGCAAGTGAGAAATTTTAAGGAAGGGAACTAAATCCCACTTCCCCTAGGTGCCAATAAAGTGGCTCAATGGCTGAAATCCTCCCTATATGAATTAAATAGATTATTAGTCTATCTCATCACATTTACTCTATCCCGTATATGCTCTTTACCGTTTTCTCTCTTTTTGGCCATTTATTGAAACGGTCAAACTATTTAATGGACCGTTTATTTAGAACATACTCCTGCATGTTTAATGGACCACCCTTTATTTAGAGCATACGTACAGTATTCAGGACTACTGCTGCATCGTCCAGTTGCTACTTGCTTCAAACGTTTGATATTCGAAATCTGGCCATGGAATCTTAGGACAACGGTGCTGCTGCTACCTTGGTCCAAGAAAACATGCCCATGGACATGGCGGCATGGCCCATGGGGTAGATAATTAGTAGAAGCATTGATGATGGGTCAAGTCGACGTAGAATAGAAGCGAGCAGTAATTATTTTATTTTAATTACGTTAATCCGAATTCGAACTCGAGACCTCTTTCTCTAATAACATATTAAGTTGTATGTACCCATCAGCTCAATCCAAAAGCTTAACCTGATAGGGAGAGGTGTGCAATTCACTTATTGTCGGATACCATAAAAAGGGGTACCCTAAGCAAAAACCGAAAAGATTGTTTAGACCTTGCAAATATCAAAACCAAGGGACAACCACGAGGTCTCGGCTGATTCACCGATTTGCCCGAGGCCTGCGCCGCAAAGGCCTCGGACGAAAGGCCAACTCTCCGCCTTGCTGAGGCCCTCTCGCCCGAGGCCCCGCCCCGCTAGGCCTCGGACGGGTTACCGATTCTCCAATTCGGCCGAGGCCCCGCGCATAAAGCCTCGGACGAAGTACCGATTCTCAGACTCGCTCGAGGCCGGCTCGGCAACAACCTCGTCGCCTCCGCCTCGACCGACTTCTCTGACAAAACGTCACGCGTCCAACCACTCCCATAACGTCGGCCAAGACGTCGACGCGGTGCAGGCAGAAGCGGCCGGCGAGACGGGGAGATAGGATCGGCGGGGTTACACCATCCGCATGCTCGACCTTCGCGCCCATGAGTGGCGCCCGTCTTTGCCTTTATGCTACCTAATTCCTGCTCCAAGAACAGCGCGGCGTGGGGAGTCAAGTCCGGGTCACTATAGCCTCGGAATCAATGTATAGTACCAACCGCTCCCTCCAAGCCTCGGCAATCCACTTCAGGGTCTCGGCAGCCTCAGGATTTGCGCCCGCCGAGCCCCCCACGATGGTTCGGCCTCGGCACCAACTGAGCCTCAGCTTTTTACACTGTGAACGTACAGCGACCGACACGTCGTCGGCCATGCCCTGCGCCAAGCTATCACTAGAGCTCCCACGTCGCACAAGATCGGGTGTGACCGGCGCGTTGCTCCAGTGCATCAAGGACAAGACCACTCTGTTGACACAAAATGTGACGCCGTGCACGCACACACGACAAAGCAGGCGTAGCTTCAATTGGGTGCCGGGTGCTTCGTGATCCGGAACGTGCCGGTCGGTTTGACTGAAAAAACCGACAAGGGATAAAACGATTAAATGTCAAACCGGAACATGTCGGGTGAGACCGAATAGATTCGTATATACGACCTGAAGCCACTTACAACGACATACAGCTATAGGAAGTCATGCGCCAACAAGTTTATAAATCATTCGACTAATCGTAGGATGGACATACGTAAAGATCTCGATTGCGAATGCATATGCATGGGAAGACATGTTTGAACAAGTGAAATTGATTATGCGTTAATGCATATCCAAGCTCGACAATCCAAATTGAGTTGGGGTCCATGAAGAAGGAACGTGTAGATAAACACGATTAAGCCAATCTAAAACCCGCGTCTGCCGCACGACACCTAGTTTCGTCAAAAACTTAAACGTGATTAACATACATGAACCCACAACATGTGACAATCTAGATTAAAATAATTCAGCCATTACGAGCATGTTATCTATTTGCAAAGGTATTATGAAAGTAATGATCATTGAAGCTCGAATAAAACCATAGAAGAGGGCGAACAATATCAATCTAGATTGGGCAAAAGTGTGCTACAAATATATAAAATATTTAAAACATGCAACACAGGATAACTTGATGAATCTATTTAGATTTTGCCGTAATCTAATAGAGCCGATAA